ACCATACAATAGAACAGTTCAATCATTCAATCATATCAAGGGGAGTTGTGCAGTCACCAATACATCTATCTTAAAGCATCCCCGCATCCCTATGGATATATCGCCTTCAAACTAAGTTGTGCAATCAAGATCAGTTTTAGCACTTCCCTTCCCCCTCCTGTCTTCATGGTTTACACCAAAATCTCCTCCCCTCCCTATCGCCCAACCCCCACCCACACCTGCATTCTTGATAACACCTTGTATCAGTTATTATCATTATACATCCATTCCTCTTGTGGCTCACAGCTGGGAAACCCAACAGAAAGCAGTGAAAGACAAATCACACTGAGGTGGTAAGGAAAAGATCATATTAGTATAAAGGGAAAAACACAAATGACAAGTAAGAGGGAGAAGACCCCCAGCAACATTCAAAAAGCCAGGGAAGAAATTTCTGCCGTGGAACAACTAAGAGATACTTGCACCCACTACAAATCCAGGTCGTGTCCGTAGGAAGGACAACTGGCCTGGTACCTAGTTCGATCTGCATAATCAGGATTACAATGGTCTGACCGAGAGTAAGGCTGTTAGGGATTCTTGCCTTGGCTAGAGCAGATCTGCCTGCAGCTCTGTCTGACTAGTTATTCTGTATATGGGACTTGAGCTCCCACTGTCCTCCATAGCCTTCTCCAAATTGGGGGTTCACAATTTTAGCTCTGATACTTTTCACCATATTCGAATTTTGTAATTGTCTTCTTTGGATCACACAAGCTGGTATGCTTCTTCATGTAGATTTAGTTGGCTCATGGCTTAGATGGCTGCTTGTCTGAATACAAGTTAAGACTCCAGGCACCATCTGCTTTCTTCACCACACTTTATTGTAACACTCTTATCTTCGGTGTTTCTTTCATAAAATTGATTATCGATCAGGGCCATGATGTAAGAACTAAATGTTCTTAAACTGGAGCTAGGATTTAATGCGAGCCCTGAAGTCATTCCTGGATCTATGCTTTATCTTAGAGAAGGAAGACTTATTTTATTTTATCTTTTCTTAAATAGTCACCTCTACTTCATTTTATACGAACCGACCCAAATGGGAAAACTATACTTTAATAATCTAATTCAATTTTGTCCTAATGGAATAAGATGAGACAATTTCAGTTTTATACAGTCAACTTTGGAGTTCATAGTTAAACATCTGTGTGCATCTTAAGATACATCTAAATTGAGTGTTGAGGTGATTCCGAATCATAGCCATCCATGGGGCACAGTCGACTTACCCAATAGGGTGTCCAAGGCTGACATCGTCATGAAGCAGACTCGCACCTCTTCCTTCCACAGATTAGCTGTGGGTTCAAACCACCAATCTTTTGGTTTGCAGCTGAGTTCTTCACCACTGAACCACCACGATGGATTTGTTTTTAAAGAAATGTTTGATGGATCATAAATCAGGCAGATGTTACCTCTCAGATACTTCAAACTTCTTCTTTTACAGTGATGCACTTTGTCAAATGAAGATGCTAGTGTAGAACTCTAGCAAAAATGCTATCACTTCTTCTTTTCAAAGAGAGTCTATATCTTGAATTTGGAAGTCTGCTACTGACGCTTCCCTTGGCTCATTCTTCAACCGAGCTCTCATCCTCCAGTCTTGCAGAAAGACAGACTAGGGTCTCCTGTTGTGACGAAGCTATTTTCAATCTCCCTCTCACTCTTTTTCTTTTCTGTGTTTAAGAACTCAGGCAAGATTCTCTGATATTGCCAAAGGAAGAATATTAAAAGTGCAAAAATAAATCCAACATCAAGCTGTCTGATGAAGCAATAGTTCCTTAGGTCATAAAATTCCTTTGAAAAAAATATGCCACGGCATTTTTATTGGGTTTATGAGCTGAAAGGCATTTAAAATTCCAAAAACAACAAAAAATAATAAAAAAGAAACACACATGTTGCTACTAAAAAAGGCACCGAAGATGTGCACTGGCAGGCTTGTTTCTGGGGAAAAAATTTGAAGCAGATGAAATCTGTGTTTATCATTTTTCCATGTCCTGTTTGTAGCCTGTCTTCCATCTCTGCTCTGCTCATCACGCCAGTGCTGGTGCGCAGGATTCCTCTCTGGCATCCTGGCTGTGCTGGCCGATGGCGGGTATTAGGTCCTCTGTAGTCTCTGTCCCTCTCCCTACCAACTCTTAAGGTTCTTCTAGGGAACTGGGTTAACTTTTCATTTTAATGTATAATGAAATATTAATGATAGCACATGTTTTCTTTCCCAGATAAAAGCATATCTGTTAAGGATTCTCAAGAAGATAACCACAGTTTCTCAGACTTGCCATTTGGCTTTTCTGTGAGTCTAGTCTTTTTTTTTTTTAATAAATCGTTTTATTAGGGGCTCTTACAGCTCTTATAACACTCCATACATCAATTGTATCCAGCACATTTGTACAGATGTTGCCATCATCATTTTCAAAACATTTTCTCTGTATTTGAGTCCTTGATATCAGCTCCTCTTCTTTTCCTACCCCCCACTCTCATGAACTCTTGATAAATTATAAATTATTATTATTTTCTTATCTTATACCATCCGCTGTCTCCCTTTACCCATGTTTCTGTTGTTCATTCCCCTGGGGGTGGGGTAGGGTGCGGGTTATACATCGATCATTGCAATTGATTCCCTGTTTCTCCCCCTTCTCCCCTCACCTTTCCCTACCCTCATGGTATCACTACTCCCATTACTGTTCCGGGGGGAGGGGGTATCTGTCCTGGATTCTGTGTGTCGAGAGCTCTTACTTGTGAGTCTAGTCTTGATGCTAGTGGAAAAGGGATGAGTGCTATGAAATGGAAGGGCACTACCGAGAACTCTAGGAAAGCATAATGTAGGATCAACATTGGTCCTCTGTTATTATTCTCACAAATAGGCGTGGCTTAGAAACACATTTGTCTAACTTAGCACCAGCACTGCCGTCTGCCTATAGTGTCTTGTATAAGCCTCTTCACTCTCTCTGGGTCTGAGCTTTTGAAGACAGGACTGAGGAGAAGAGGGAAAAATGGGTACTTTGCCACTGCTGTAAAAGTGGAAGAAAAGAGACTTACTTTGTCAATGTTCAAGGACAGATGAGTTTTCTGATTCATCCCTATTCTTCAAGTGTCACCTGCAACTATGTCAAGCACAATTCGCTATATCTCTGGGAATGAGGAAATTGCTTAAATCATTGCCATGGAAATTACAGTCTTTGGCAAATGATGCAGATGGTGAGGTGGCTGGTTTGTGTTTCAGTTTTGACATTTGTTGCATTCTGCCAGGTAGATCCTTTCTCTCTGTCTTTGTAAATCCCATATATACTCGTGTATAAGCTGAGTTTTTCAGCACATTTTTAATGCAGTTTTTGTGGTAAAATTAGGTGCCAGGTCAGCTTATATTTGAGTTAATATGGTAATTGAACTGATTCTGGCAAAGGTTACCATCGAAAGGACATTTGATGGTTTGGAGGTTAGGTGTGAGAAGAAATATGAAGATGGCAAACCTTGTAAGTCACTCTTTTGTTTCCAAGCCTATCTAGATCCATATTTTATTCATTAGTAGCTACCCACCCTTTACTGAGACCCACTATGAAAATATTGGAGCCCCCTCTGTGTCTCCCTTCCCTCCAAAGTCCCCATTCCACTTGCTGACTCTATAGGAGAGGGTGTGTGGGTGATGACATCAAAGGGGTCCATATAGAAAAAGAATGCTTGGAAACTGATTGTGGTAGCAAACGTTCAATTCTGCTGGACATGATTAAACTAGGGAATGATCTGATATATGTTCTAATCCTAATTAATTAAAAATGTAATATACATATATAAAATAACATTTAAAAAAGAAACTCTTGAAGCCCCCAAATCTGGACATTGTAATGTTCAGGATAGTAAACCCAGAGACTTTACTTTTAAAGACCTGTGATAGCTTTAGATTTTTATGACTCGCATGGGATAAGACACAAGACCACAAGGTCCAGAAGAAAATAAACTGTTTTTAGTAAGGGCACAGGAATACACATATATCTTTGAAGGCAAGAATATTTATAGAGACAATATTGCTGCCGAGTGCCCATCTTTAAAAGTGGTAAGACAAAGAAAAGGGATGGGAAAGTGAAAATGTAAGATGACTAGAGTCTCCTTATTGAAAGAACACAGGAAATATCCAAGTGAAGCCATTAAGCACTGAGTGCTATTTATTCACACCTTATATTTGGCCTGAAGTAAGAAAATGTTTAAATATGACTTCCCTTGAAATCACTGCAATTTAGGATCAGACAGATGATAACTTGTAATAGCTTTTTAATTTCATCCTGGAGCTATAATATTATTCTACAGGAATAAAGTCAGCTCTACAAGTAAAGATAAAAATATCCCAACAAATTCAGTTCAGAACAACACAGAACATTTCCATATCATCTTGATAGAAATGTCATATCATCTTATATGATACTTGGACAATGTCTTTCCTCACGTGGAAATGGAGAGTACTCTTGAGAGTACTGACATCACTGCCTGGATTTATCTCTCTTTAGTTAACCAAAATCCAAACTCAATGCCATTGATTAGATTCCAACACCTATCTCCCAAGATTAAATTGTTATGGGCACAAACAGCTTCATCTTTGATGCATGGAGCTGTTAGTAGCTTTGAACCCACAACCTTTCAATGAACAGCATAGCGCTTAATGCGCTGTGTCTCTAAATTTCCTTAAGGTTCCATGATTATATACTTTTAATTATCCATTAGGCTTATAGTGGTTACAAGTTGGGCTGCTAACCACAAGGTCAGCAGTTTGAAACCACCAGCCATTCTGTAAGAGAAAGTTGAGGTTTTCTACTTGCTTAAAGAGGTACAGTCTCTGAAACCCACAGGGGGAAGTTCTAGCCTGGATTATGGGATCGTTGTGGATCAGAATAGAGTAGATGGCAGTGAGAGGACTGTGAGGGCCTCAGTACATGCATGTGTATGGGACATGAGTTCACTAAGGACTTGAGAATGAACCAGATACTCACCGGAGGGCCCATTAGTGCTGGTCTACCCACTGGCCCAGTAGTTCCTTGTACGCCCAACTCTCCTTTCTCTCCGTCCTCTCCAAGAAGGCCTCGTCCTCCTGGGCTTCCCTAAAACCCAATATACTTCGTTTTAAAAGGTAATGCAGTGAAATAGTATAACACAGAATAAACACAGTTGGGATTTGTAAGCAAAATTAGTTGTCTAATATTTTAAGGATTTCACACAAAACATCTATTTTAGAATTTTGAGATTGTAATTTACCTTTAATCCATCTTTACCCGGAGGGCCTTCTTCTCCAGGAATCCCAGGTGCGCCCTATTTTGTAACAATACAATGACTTATTATGCTCAGTATTTAGCTCAATTTGAAGAGTAATTAATTTTTTAGCTCCTGGCATCTAGAGAAAGTAGCAGATTTGTGTATATTTGTTCTTCCCTACTACTTTATGTCCAAGCGGGAATTTGATAGTATAATAACATGATTTCATTTGTCCTGAGAAGCTCTGCAGGTGATTTAGGGAATCAGAGTGATGCATATTTAAATATAGCCTGGCCTCAGCATGACAATACATTTTAGATAATTAAAGATAATATAACATTTCTTTGTAAAGTTTGCAAATTTGTACAGTTATGTCTGTGTTTCCAAGTATAAGAAATAAATGCTGTATCCCATAAAATTATGGTCCTTATTGCATTGAGACTTTTATGAATTCATATACTTAATGGGGGCCAATCTACCAGATTTTCAGTGTCTCTGTCTCCTCTCCCTTGCAGAGAGGAGAGGTAAAGAGCAAGGCCCCGGGACAGTAAGAAGCTGTCTTCTACACGTGGAGTTTGCAAAGCCAACAGGCAGCTATTAAAGTCCTGCTGACTCTCTTGCTACCGGACTGGACTATTCAAAGGCAAATTGATCAGTGATTTTTAATGGCTGACCTGTCTTTGCTACTATTGACACTCCCAATTATTCCTCAAAAAACGTAAAGAGTAAAAAATAGAATATACATCTTCCTATTTTGTATTTTAATAAACATACATCCCTTATAATTATCCTGCACACTGCTATTTTGAGAGAAAATTCCTTACCACAGCTCAGAATAACAATTTCCTTTTCAAACTATCTAATTACAAGTATTTACAATGATTACCTTAAGTCCTGTTAATTTTATATTATTCTATTTCATTTTCTAACAAAAATAGATGCCAATCTTTTGTTAGTCTTGTATTCTCAGGAAATCTCCTGAGAATCGACTACTGGTATTTGTGAATAGTCATATATTTGGCAAGGGTTCTGTGGATTACACCAGATTTTTTAAGGGCTGGTAAATGAGGTTAGGGCTCTATGTTCCAATGAAAGCAGAATTTGTCATACGGCTTTCAAAATTTTCAAACGAAGACCAAATTTCCTATAATGTCTCAGAAAGATTTATTATGTAGTTTTTAAAAGTGTTCAGACAGACAAGTTTGGCAAGTCTAAAACAAGCTAGCGAGTGCATTCAATGGGTTTCCAGTAGGACTTACCCGCAATCCTGGCTCCCCACTGCCCCCAGCACTGCCTGTAGCACCAACGTCTCCCTGGAGAAAAAAGGGAAGAGGAATTGCTTCTATTAAAATATCATGAGCGACAGGGGCCTGAAAACAGTCCCCGCTTTCATCTGCTGCTTTTTCATTGCTTCAAAGGTGTCTGGGTGGGTGTTTGCCTAAAAGGGCAAAAACATAATTTACTCTCCTCTTTGCCTTTTACAAAAGGTGCCCTGGTGATACTGTAGGTCAAGCATTGCTAACCACAAAGTCAACTGTTCAAATCCACGATCTGTTTTGCAAGAGGAAGATGAGGCTGTCTGCTTCCATAAAAATTTATAGCTTCGGAAAATATACGGTTCCTATACATCTGAATCAGTTTGATAGCTATAAATTTGCTTGCTTATTTGTTTTAAACAAATGTTACCTTTGTACCCGGCTCTCCTTGTAGACCAGATTCTCCTTCAATGCCTGGTGGTCCCTAGAAAAAAATGGTAAGTCACAACTTTTGTAAGGATTCCTTCATGAGTTATAAAGGCAATCCTATCCTAGGGGAAGACAGTAATTTTTAGCTAAAAGGGAAGGCATTCCTTGTTAGAAGGTTGCCTTTACTGCCACTTCACAAACTTCATGGCATACATTCAGAGCAGGTAATTTCTGGGATGCTAATAGTTCAAATGCTAAAACAACTTCACCTGAAGCCAGGGTATTCAAAACCAGTCAGCCACTTGATTTCAAAAAGAATGATATGAGCAATATCAACGGTCAGCAAGCATCTGGTGGATTAAATGGAGTTACGGGAACAGGGCAAGAATGGAGGACTGGAGCATTGGTAACAGGGGCGAAAAGGAAAGGATGCGTTTCAGAGACAGACTAATTCCGAGGGAAAGGAAGGCTATGTCAGCAGATAATGCAGGAGAACGGTCTGCGATGGCTCTCAGTTTGGGGTCATCTTTCATTGAGAAAGAAAAACATAAAAAGGAGAAAGAACAGGGGCAAAGTGACAGGAATGGTTTAGGGACGCTGAATTCAAGGTGTTTGTGAGACCCCTAAAGGGACATGTCAAAAGGCACTGGTTAGAGTTATCAGCTTGAGTGCTATCGAGATACAATTCCCAATTAAAGTCATTGTGATAATGTGATTTTTAAAGTGTTGGGCTGCTCACCACCAGGTTACCAGTTCAAAACCACCAGCCACTGAAATAATTGAATTGTATGCTTTTAACAAGTGTGGTTTATTTTTCCAAAAGATATTCTAGACAGGGGTCTCTTCACCGTATTTTTCTTGTGGCTGCTGCGTCATTTTGACTCAAGTGAACAGTAGAGTGGGCTTTCATGGAGTGTTCAGGCTGTGACCTTGCAGAAGCAGGATGGCGGGCCTTTGAAGATGTTTCTGGGTAGATGCAAGCTATCAACGTTTGTATTAATAGTCAGTGCTTAACTGTTTGTGCCGCTTACTGACCACATGAAGAACATTTTCAAAAATTAATTTTGCTGTTGAAAATATACACAGCAAAATCAATTCAAACACTTCTATACGTATAATTCATTGACACTGATTCTTCTAGTTGTCCAACCATTCCTACCCTCCTTCACTGGTTCCTCTCCATTTACATAAATCTGTTGCCCCTATTTCCCAGATATAATCTTTTGAGCTATTGCTGTCAATTTGATTTTACATATGGATCTTGAAAGAGCACAATGACCAAGGAAGATATTCTTCATCAGTTAGAAAAACTTTTGTTTTGTTTTAAGGAGACACTTTTTTTTTTTGAAGTTTATATTTTTATTTCAAAATGCAAAATATTTTTAGACTTTTCCATAGTAGACTATAGCCCATTTCAAACCAAACTCTCTGCCATCAAGCAAATTATGACTCGTAGGGATCCGACAGGACAGGGTAGAACTACCCTTGTGAGCTTCTGCAACTGTAAATCTTTTTGATTAAGATCTCAGGATGAGGGGCTTAAGTGGAGCACAAATGTGTTGAGAATGATGAGGGTAACGAATGAACAAATGTGCTTTACACAATTGATGCATATATGGATTGTGATAAGAGTTGTATGAACCCCAATAAAATGATTAAAAAAAAGATTTCAAGATTATTTCAGGGCGATACTTTGATGGGTTCATCCAGTCTTCCGGGCTCCGCAAATTGGAAGTAAATCAGACTTTAGAGTTCTGTGTTGTATTTCCACCCCACTCTGATTAGTGCTCCTCTTTGGTACAGCTAGAATGTTCTATAATGGGAACTGTGCATCCCCCTTCTGGTCTCATAGCAAAAGAGGCAGTGGTGCACGGCGGCAGTTAGCGGTACGTTCTACATGCTCTTCCCACTCCTGACTCTGGAGAAAAAGTTTTCTTTGCTTTTTCTTCTTATTTGCAATGAGCTAAGTTAAAGAGAATTTAATATGTATAGAATCAGAAATATTAAATGAAATGAAGAAGTGATATCCATGAAAGGTGTTGGTGAAAAATATTAACTATTCCATGGTCTGCCTGAAGAAGCAACAAATCTTTGTGGAAGAGATCCAGCTAGACTGTTCCTCAGAAGTGAGGTGAGGGCACCTTGCGTCCTTTGGCCATGTGAGCAGGAGGGAGCGGAGAAGAAAGAGGAAGACCTTCGATGGGTGGACTGCACAATGACGCCCCCTGGGTCCCCGCACAGAAACTGCTCTGTGGACGGCAGAGGACTAGGCGACGGATCGTTCTGTTGTTGGACAGGCAGCACTGACTCAGCCGCGCCCAATAACCACAAAGTCCGCTTCATACAGTAGTCAGCCCTCTGTTAGTGGAGTCTAAGCTTTATTTTCTCAATATGAGACCAAGTGCTGAGTAATCATCCTTGAAAGTACTTACTTACTATACCAAATTTCCTTTTGAAGACTCATAATATTGTGTATTGATAAATGAACAAGAAAGAGAAACAAAAGTATTACCTCAACACCGATTTCTCCGGGAAGTCCAGCATCACCTTGCGGTCCTCGCGGTCCCTATAGTAAAATAAAAGGCAAATATAAATATTGGAACCAAAGGTTCATGTTCATTTCAATACATATGAACAAATAAATAATTTATCTGTGAGTTGGAATTGACTTGATGGCAGTGAGTTTGGTTTTGGCTTGGATCTAGACTGAAATCATGCTTGCTTGAAGTATAAGTTATTAATCTATGTTGAATGAACGAGTGAGTGGTCAACTTTCCAAATGCAAACATTTGCATGGCAATGAGAAAACCAGTTTTAAATCTTTTCTGGAAAAAAGAGAAAACTCTTAGAGATAACTGCTACTGTAGTCCTCGGTTATTTTATTATCCTCAAAATAGAATGTGTTACTGTGTCTTCTATGTTCTTCCTGTTACCAATTTGCTACCAATTTTCTTTTCTATAATTAGGCCTGGAGTTCACATACATAACACAAAGCTCAGTCTGACCTAAAGCTAATTTATTTATATTTTATTTATCAGCTCTTATCCCTGAATCTATGACCTGATATTTTTGCATGGTGTTGTGCAATTTGGTCACTTAGGGCAATGCTAACACATTTTTTTCTCTCTTCGACAAATCTCTGGATATTGTTTTTGCTGCTGTCAGATCTATGATGATATAGTTTACCCCAAAGTGCTCATTCTTTACTAAGACTGAACTAGTTTTCATTTTACTCCCTCTGATGTTATTCCTGAATGGCTATGTCTTTGACTAGACCACCTTCGGCAATTCAGCTGGACATGCATTGAGCAGAAAAAATATGCCAGACATTCGACCAGAAAAGTAGGCTATAAAGAGAAGGAATGGTCTCCGCTTCACAGGAGTGGACAGAATTTTAGGAAGGTGAATGTTTAAGTAAATAATGTTAAAGAAAATTATTTAAAATCAAATAGAACTAGGATAGTGGTTAAGAGAGAAAACAGAAGAATTTAATTGGATAAACTAAACATTATAGCTAAGATTCTTATTTGAAAAAGACTGTATATATATTTATCTATTCAGAGATTTACTTATCGTTGGGTGCATTTGTATCATAGTTCAATATGCAAAAGAGGAAATGAACTCATTTGTAGGAATGGCTCTTTGTTAAAGATTTTTCACTGGCTACTAGCTAAATAAATAGTACAAAGGCCACTTTTAAACCTTTGTATCAACTGAGAGACAAAATCAACCTAGTAGGTTGAAAGACTGTATTGTAGTCTTGAGAAAACTTAGAAGCACATTACAGCACATTACAGTTACACCACTAACCAAAAATATGACATCATAGGCAATAAGACAAATTATGAAAAAGAAGATGCGATAGGTCTTTTCTTTTCACAAACAATTTTTCATGGAACTCTGTAATTAAATCGCATTTATGAAATTGTAGTATCAGTTTTTGTATTATTGATATGATAGCTTTTTGGTCATATCTGTATCATCAGATGCAGACTTTTATTTCTGTATATGGTCTTCAATAATAAAGTTGGCCTCATAAATGTGATTATGCTGTGTGGCAGTGGCATAATTATAACAGTAAACCATTCAAAAAGAATGTTTTGAGATTCAATGAACAGATTTTATTTGTTGAAAATAGAAATATGCTCAGTTTTAACAGTTGAAGAAGAAGGCTGCCAAATTTGGTTTTATTAAATCTTAAATGTACTAAACAGTATTCAGCAGCAAAATGTTTGCTCAATAAATAGTGTATGTGCCTATGATAAATGCAGCTTCCAAAAACATACCAGCAACAGAAAGGCAGGGCAAAAGTAACAAATGAGTAAATGCACATTAAAAGAATAATACTATTGGAAAAAGTATAAAGATAAACTTACTGGTTCACCTTCAAGTCCCCTGTCTCCTGTGTTTCCAGGGGGTCCTGGTAAACCCTGAATAAATAAAGACAAAGTTTATATATAAAGTGATACTTGACAATGCTTTAGCCAGTTTCCTTATATTAGGGCTCCTTCATGCATGTCTCACCTAACGTTTGACATATACCACCATGTTCTCGCGTGTCGTTGTGACAGTTGAGCTGATAATAACTCTGTGACAGAGCAGTATGGATTCATAGGGTTGACCTTTTTTTTTTTTTTTGCTGAAATCTTCGAAGAAGTAGAGCTTCAAGCCTTTCTCCCTTGGTTAGTGTGGTAGTTACACAATTTCATGTCAACTTGATAAAAAGGAATTAAGAGGTGGAGTCTAGCCAGTCCATTAGGTGATCCCTCCTTGTGGGTCTGGTCTTCTATGAGAATTCTGGGACTTCCTCTCTTCCTCTTCTGGAGGCAGGACACACACACTTTCTCTGCTTCACATTCCGGTGGATAAGTCACATGGAGCCATGTCTGATGGCAGCCAGAGCCCTGAGATGCGTCCTCTGTCATTAGACCCACAGGGTTTTCCACCCACAGTCAGTGATCTTCCTGCAATCAGCATCACTGCATGTGCTGCATGAGTCTGAAGAGGAATTCATGGGCTGATCTCATACTTATGGAGTAATATAGGATTTATGGATTTGATGTGGACTGGGCTGGGACACCCCTCCCCCCTCTTCTGATCCAGCTGTGACTTCGGAACGTGTCCCCCGTTTACTTCTGGAAACCTGGCTGCCCTTTTCTGGGCTGGGATGTCTTATTGATGCATAATTACTTCTTGATATAAAGTTCTCTCTTACATATATATGTGTCGATGAATTTGTTTTTCTAGTCTGCCTGGTCTAACACAGTTAGCAAACAAACACTTAACTCTCTGCATTTGCAGGGCTCCTTCACACACTAAGTATTACACTATGCCAACCAATGATTCAGAATAATTAGCAAGAGTCCCGTGGTCGAATTATCACCCTTCATATGAGAGACCCAGGTTTGATTTCTGGCCAACGTATTTCATGTGCAGCCACCACCCCATCTGTAAGTGGAGGCTGTGTGTTGCTATGACTTTGAACACGTTTCAGTGGAGCTTCCACACTAAGACAGACTAGAAAGAAAGGCTGGGTGATCTACTTTTAAAAATCAGTCAATACATCATGATAGTCAGGTCTGCAACCCATCTGGTGGTGATAGAGGGCAAGTCAGTATTTTGCTCAAATTTGCATGGGGTCACTCTGAGTTGGGGGATGAATCAATGGCAGCTAGTGACAACAGTAATTTAAAATGTGAATTTTGTTATTTAAAACTAAATTTTAAATTTAAATAATCCTGGATAATTAGTTGGCATCGTGTAATAGTAGGGCTTGAAGAGTATTATATATTATGTAATGATATACTGATATAAAATCAATATAGTGTAAAAAACTCATATTTTAAATCATATACTTGTGATATGTTAATAAGCACCATCTAGGTCCTAATTACCTGACAAATCACAAGGTCTCAGAACCTAGATAATTAGATTGGACTTCACCATCTTTCTTGTGTTTTCATTTGTATGAAATAACACCTCCTAGCCTTCTATTCCTTATCAAGATTTATTGTCTTCAAAACCCACAGCGACAGTTCTCTGTCTTACAGGGTCTCTACGAATTAGACCAGACCCACTGGCTGTGAGTTGCTGTGTTTGTTTGCATGTATGTATGCGTTCTTTTTTGTCCTCCCATCAGAAGTTTTACTTTGCATGCACTGTGTGCCAAATACTGGTGACTGTTAACGACAGATAAGATACCACCCTGGCCTATTTGCAAGTTGCTTCCTATACATTATTGACCTTGGAGAGGATGGCCGTGGCACAATAGATAATGATTGCCATTTACCTTTAAAAGGGGGGGAAAAACTAAGAAAATATTGCATTAAATTAAAGATAAAGCTGTTCAACATTCTTGGCAATATACATGCTTCTGAATTATAATTATTAATGCTAACTCAGTTATATAAGATAGGTAAAATAATAGATTTTCATATGGCTAAGTCCTGTTTCAGCCATGAAAATCGTGTGCTACTCATTCATTCCAGGCTGCTATAAAAAGAGACAGGATTGTGACAAGGGGACCCTTTGGGGACATGTATACCAACTGAAGCATGCAGCAGAAGTTCAGAGACTT